CGCTGGCACGCACGCAGAAGGAAAGGCGGGCCACTCGCGGACCTTCGTTTGCTGCTGTGCCTCTTATGACAGGAAGACAATATGTGGAGTATGCCCGTTTTTCCCTTGTACGGCAGGAAAGCAGGGGGAGGCTTGGTCACGAGCAGCCCTCCTCCCTGAGGTGTGGTTTTCCGTAACGTCGGGTCGTTTTGTTTTGCGCACCGTGCTTTCTTCTTTGTTCCAAATGCGACGCATACCGTGTTCGTGGCGCAAGACCATACCAACGGTGACTTGTCCCTTGGATGTGGAATCCCGAGCCGGTCGTGTCGCGGGACAGGAGGAGTGTCCACAATGTGCGACCTTCGCCTTACCTTTCGTGTTGGGGAAATCTCGGGAAAACAAACCTCTTGCGAGATTTTCGATGATAATAAGTTCGATCCGCAGCAGCAGCAGCAGCATTATTGTGTTCGGAAAATTTTGTGTGCCTGCTCTCTGGGCTTTTTCATCGGGAGTCGACTCAAAGCAGAACGTCCTTCTTTGTCGACACCAGATCAGAGGAGTAACTGTTTGTCGTGCACTCCAGCGCTCAAGGCATGCCCCGTTCCGCATACAAACCCCACCGTCCACTATGGTAGCACCGTAGTTTTCTCAGGCGGTAATACGACAATTTCAAATCCTGTGTGACCTTCATTCCTCCTGTGTACACCGAAAGGTGTGTAGGCTTGCTTCAGAATATCGTAGCTGTGAAGAACACACACACGCACACACCTGATCGTTTGCGAATGATGTACGTGTACGGAGGCTGAACCGCTGTGATATATATATGTCCCCCCACTGCGCTCCCCTCTGATTTACAATCGATCGTTCGTGGCACGCCGTGTTTCGTGCTCGTTGCAGGGGACCCTTCGCAGCGTTCATTATCGCCTTCCTTGGGCTGTTCGCCTGCTGTGCGTGCTCCAACAACGTGAGCTCTTGGAAATGAGAACCGTGGGGCGTGCCGTCGAGACGTCCATTCGCTATGCACTTTCTTCTGTTGATACCACAGTTACCATCAAGAAAGTATGACCGGTGTTTTCTCGATCAGAGCGTCCTTACGATTGGAATGACGTTTGTTGATCCTTCACCATGTTTGGTGTCATTTTTCTAAGAGTTGACGGTGATTTTGTGATAAGTTCGGCGCTGTAGTGGTTGGTCAACGCTAGAAAAACAAGAACGACGCATGCACACACGCTCATCCAAAAAACAGTTCGATCCCAATCCAGGAAAATATATCACCAAGTCTGGGCAATAAAAACCTAGGTCTCGACGAACTGTCGACTTTAGAAGTCGAAGTGGGATAGATGAGAAGAGGCGTTTGCGTCACTGTGATTTTGCATGGTTGCGTCAGCTCTCTCTGTAGAAAGGATGCCAGAACCGCCTTTCGAGATGAAGATCATTTTCGTTCAAATCTGACGAGGAACACGGTGTCTGGCAATCGATTCTGGAGATTCATAGATCCGGATAGATTCGTTGAGATACTTGCATGAAAGTATACCCCCTCCCAAAAAAACACGGAAAGATTGGCCAGCATGACCGGGTTGGTAAGCCAATGACGAAGGTGTACGCACCCAAGAGTCGAACGTTTGCGCATGTAGACTGGGTCGTGGTCGACGGTTAAACGGTCCGAGAATGACGGACCTGGCCGATGGAAAACAGTTTCAGGACAATTCTCAGGCGTTGACGAAAGGAGCGCTGTTGCTGTAGTTTTTTCGTGGAACTAGTTTCCGGTACGATGCTACTCTTCTTTGCCTCGATCGAAGTGCCTGCACCGGTCGTCGCAGGGGTCTGTCGGCCCAAGCCAGAAACGATGCCTTACTGCTCTCCGCAGATCTACCGGATAATCGTAGTTTGATCCTACCCCCGCGTAAGCTAGCCCCCCGCTCCAGGTCCTTCGTTGACTCGGCAAAAGCGCTCTCTCTCGTGCGTGTACGCGACACCGCTCTCGCTGAGCCATTGCTGCATCCACGCTCGATTGTGTCGCCTTTCGTTTCGACGTCACAGAAACGGGGAAGGGCGCCGAGGGCAGGGACAGCGGCGGCGGCTGCGAACGTGACCGGCCCCGGCGGTATCCCCACCGCCACGGCCGTGCGCCTCGACGACGTGGAGAAAAACGCCTCCTCGAAGGCCGGAGGGTCCACCACCGCTCACGCGGTTGGCACCCCCGTCGGGGCCGGGGACTCCGTGGATCACAAGCCTTCCGAGTCGCGCCCCCTCCTCGCGGGCAGCAGCGCCACTGGAGGAGGCAGCTGGTGGAACCGGCGGCGCCCCACCCGCGGAGGGCTGCCTGCTAGCGGCACTACGTACCAGGGAGCGACTACGTCCGGCAGGGGGGACAGCGAAGGCGGTCACCACAGCACAGCCACCGGAGGAACCACGGGGAGGGGCGACGACCATACCAGCACCGCCCACGGCGGAACCTCGGGCAGGGGCGGCGGGGGCCGCGGCGTGTTTGGTGGGCTCTTCGGGGGAGAAGGAGGAGGCGGTCACTCCAGCACTGCCTCCGGAGGAACGACCGGTCGTAGTGGCGGTGGCGGCGGCGGCGGCGGCGGTCACTCCAGCAGCGCTTCCGGTGGAACTTCCGGTAGGTAATTCGTGAGCTCTCAACAACAAGCCCGACGAATCTAAAGCAATACTTCACGAAATAACCGATGAGTTCGCGAGCTGTTCCAGAGCTGCGGTAGCTCGGCGTGGACTTCGGAGCTGCGCCGCCATATTCGACGCACACTTGCGCTGAATAGTTCGTCGATTCCTTTTTCGCGGGTGGGCGGTGCCGTCGTTGTGTCCGCGTTAGCTGTAAGTTAGCGCGCAGAGCCCCCACCGCATCGCTCTCGACATGTGCCCTGTTTATTGGTTTTTGTATTTTCTATTGTCTTCGATGTCAATATAATCCAACGCGCGCACGCGGTTGGTTGTTTGCGCTCGTACGCGGTGACGCCGCGGCTGCCTGTCAGGTTTTTGGTGGACGGGGAAAGGGGTGTGTGTGGTGTTGCTTGTGCAGAGGCCCTGCAAGTTTTTCCCCACTAGGTACGCGATGTTTAGGGGTTGCGTTTTTTGTGCTCATGTGTAAGCGCCCCTTCGATGGCGCCAAGCACCGCGTGTGTTTGTATGTGTGTGTTTTTGTGGCCCCTCGAGCGTGAGGAGAGTCTCACACGCAACACGTGGGCCCAGCAGCCGACGGTGTTTCTGTCGGCAGGGTGGTTTCGATTCCTGCCGGGGCGTATTCGCAGCCGGGGATTGCCACCCTTAGACCGCGCGGTGCCCCAACAGACCCGGCACACATGGTGTCTATGTCTATGTGTCCATGTATCCATGGGGTGCAGCCCAACAGAACATGGTGTCTATGTCTATGTGTCCATACATCCATGGGGTGCAGTGCAAAAAGTTGTTTCGCGGCAAGTTCGCGACGCGGCAGACATGCGGTACGTGCGCTCAAGAAAAGCAAACTAGGTCTATGTCCTTATGTCCTTCATCCTGGATAATTATTTGTTGTTTGTACTTGCGGTCCTAGATTAGACCTCTTCGTTGACGTCTGTCGTCCGCCGTAGATGACATATTAGTAGGTGGGAAGCAAGGTTGTCCTGAATATGGGGTAACGGAATCCTTCCTGCGTGACCCCCGGTGATACCTCCTCAGTGACGGAGGCAAGACCTTCCGGCGGGAAGAAAAATCCGCGGGTGACGGGTTAATAAAATAGGATATGCCTTTGAACGACAGTTTAAGAAAGTTGTCGGTAGAACATGAAACACCAGTCAGTCTTAATTTAAAGCTGTTTTTCGTGCCCTCTGAAGTCTAGAGCTGTTTTTCGCGATAGGCTTTAATCCTAATTTTATTGCAAGGGCAGCATTTTTCCAACAGCTTACACTTTAATATTAGTAGTGTGGGAAGGATTTTGTAGACTACTAGTGTTTCCCGTAGGCTTTAGTGGACTTCCTTGCTGTACATCGCCCCGATAAAATACGACCTGGGGGGCCTCTAGTTCGTAGACGATGCACACTTCTAAAAAGGAAGATCAACCTGCTTCTGTGTTGCCCTTGGCCCTTGATCTTGCTTCCCAAACAGTAGTTTAGTGATGACGCACGTACGTGAAGTGGCAGTATCAGCTGAACGGTTCTGTTGGATCCGTCACATCACTTGTTTATTAATCTCTTCACTAGTAGCCTTTTTAATAACAATCCGTTGCGATACTTCCACCAGCAGCCTCGCGCTGCGCTTGACTCTTTCGTGTTGTTGTACCCAAGGTGTGATGTCGGCGGTGATTACAGCGACACTGGGGGTGAACATTGTTGTGGACGTTTTTGGGTGCCATGGGCACGACCGCCCATGCTTGGGAAAAGCCTTTCTTTCCTTTTCTTTTGCATGATCAACATTGGGTGTTGGAGGTGGTGAACTAGTGAAATTGCCCTGATACGTTTTATGGCAGCGGCTATTCCGCGGAGAAAGAGAGGATTTGAATTGATCGAACTCGTGTTAGCTTTGCCCGGGCCCGCTTGTATTTCGGTGGCAGTGGTGATGGTAGTGGTGGTGGCCGTGGTGGTAGTCGATTAGGGGGTATTCGCATCCATCCGAACATCGTTCCGAGTGTGGGCTAGATGCGCTCTAGCTCTCTGAATATGGCAGCCAACATTAGGTACAATGCGTTCCAGCTATTGTCGCTGAGTCTGCACCACTGGCTTTGCCGTTGATTCTGTAGGTTCAATACCAACGCTAGCTACAGGGTCGCTCAAGATGTTCGCGGAACACTTGAGTTGTAGAATATGTGCGCGTGTGAAGTTTTCGTCTTCCTCGAGGCCGAGCCTAACGGGGTGCCCACCTCGATGGGCGAGGTTCCGAGTAATAACTACATTGGTCGCCAATTGTGTCATCACCAATTTCCGTAATATTGCGACATCGTGCGTGGAAATTGGGCATATGCGCCCGCCGCGCCGAGTTGGGTCGAGAGTTCCAGCGGCCAAGGGCCGATTTCTGCCACAGCTAGCTCGCCCCGTCTGCGCCACAGCGGCGAGCAAAATATTTCGTCTCAAGGTTTTACCGCCGTCGTCAGGTGGCAAGGAAAGCGAAGGGATTTCGATCCGCACGTCGCACAACAACGAGGTGCATGGAACCAGGATCCCGCTGCAGCCACAACGGACGGGACTAGATTCTTGTTTTCGTTTTAGCACCTTTTCTACCGCAACACACTCCGGGAAAATAACCATGTCCTGAGGGAAGCGGTAGCAACCAAGGGCTCAAGGTGACACAGAAGAAAACCAGCCCTCGCTCAGATTCCAAGTCCGCTGACGGCACAGGGCGAGGGTCAATCCAAGTGCAGCATCGGAGCCTCCGTCATGTCGTCTCCTCATCGCGCCCCACGCTCCTAAATTCGACATCCCCCGCCTTTGCCAGCAACTCCTCAAGCCCCGCTGTTCCGGATATACCCATGTCGCTCAGAGCCTCATCAAGGCCACAGCTAATAGCCCCATCGCCACCGCCACCTCCGCCGCCGCGTCTTCTCGGATCTTTCCCTGCCGCTTCCAGCTCCAAGCGTTCGGCGATCTTGGAGAACTGCTCTGCTTCAGGGGACGCGTCGTTTCCGTCCCCTGATTGTCCGAACGCCTCCGCCGCGAAGCGGTAGCACCTTGCGTCGGGCTCTACCCCCTCCGAGGCCATCGAATCCAAGATTTCTCGGGCAGCGTCGTCCCTTTTCATTGACGATTTTTTTCATTCGTGACCCGCAAGAATCACGGCGTACAGAAAAGGACAGGGAACACAAGTGGATTCAGGGACGTCGAACTCGAAACACCTCGTTACAAGTGTACCTGCAGCTCACTCGATGAGTTTGCTTCGCGCGGCGATCGAAAATGCGAGGATAACAAAAAAGGCCACTACTGTCCAGAGTAAGGGTTAGGATCAGTGAGAGTAGTGGTCAGCAGAAGGGACGTCGGGTTAGGCTGAAAGGGAGCTACGCGCAAGGCGTTGGTTGCCACGCCAGGGGGGAAGAGGGCCGTCGCCGGATCTCTTAGTTGAGGCCATGCACCGTCCGTGCTACGTATATTTACAAGGGCTACAGATTCCCGCCGGGGAGCAACTGCGTCCCATGGGGCAACGCCTTGAAGAGTACACGTCCGTGCTACGAAGAAGGTGGGGGAGGTCATGGGCCTATTTATAGCACTGCCGATCGTGGAGGGGTCTCGTCACACGGTAGGTCGTGAAACGTGTATTTGTGGCTTCACCAGTCATGGCACCAGAGCAACTTATCACAACCGAGCGCTGGGACCGAATAGCACCCTTCCTACAGCCCGCCGGGCCTGCACATCAAGGCGATATTAAACCCGCACCAGGGGTCGTAAGAAGAATGATTGGCTGGCCTCTGACAGTCGCGCCAGACCCCAGACCAAGAACATCACGCCGCTGATGCCAGGAAACCACTCTATTCAGACACGCCTCGGAAAACCACCCCGACAGAAAACGCCTTCACCTTCGCCTAAACAAGAATAACAAGAACGTCTGCAGTAAGATGCGAAGTATGCCATACCCTTGGCCGACTTTCGAAGCTCGACTACTCCACAGCATCAAGAGTGGTGGCGCGAAAAATGTCGGCGATGGTATCATCTCGTCCATAGCTTCGCGAAAGCGTATCGTTTTATTTGCTATTATTTGTACACTCTCTTCGCTGTGGGGAAAATCAGAATTTGAAAATCGGCCAGGCAGGGTGTGTGATATCGTACATCATGCCACCTACGGCAACAACAGCAACGAGTTTCTCCCCCCCGTTGCCCCGCCCCACCTTCCGCACGCGGCGCAAGCGCGGAGCGAGCCGTGGTAGTCCGCGAGCGTCGGCGTCATGTCCCTCCGGAGCATCTCGCCCAGCAGCCCCACGCACGCGTCCACGTTGTTGGCGAAGCCGCAGGCCGTGATGGCAAGGCCATAGCCCGTGAGATCCGGACAAGGACCCTTTTTTCGGGGGGGAGTGAGGGAGAAAGAGACGCCGGATCAAACCGCACACATCACGACATGTTCAAAATAGTAGTTGGGGTCTCTAGCAGGGCGGGTTAGATAGGGTGGGTAGCCGTCATTGAGCGGGTGAAATCTCTTGGCACAAGACACTACAGTTTCCTTCAATTCATTCTTTTAATGGGGCGGGCGCCCGCTATGAGGCGGATGAACGGACCTGGCACGTATGATACTCGCGCCAAGGAGAGACCCCGACTGCTGTACGCAAACGTGTCCTGGTTGCCATGTTGGCGGGTGTACAGAAGGCGACACCACTCTAATGAGCCTCTTGCTTATTTCGCACGAGGTTAGTTTGTTAATGTTCTCTACGGGGTAACCCAACATCGAGAACGAACTAATGTATACTTAGGTATTAGTTAGGACGATCAACTGAGCACGTGTTGCAGTAGTTTTACTATGGGATGCTTAAACAGGGCACCTATTCCAGTGATCAAGCCCTTGAAACAAATTCTTTTTAAATGAGCCTGGGTTTCTCGATCCCCAGGTCTTTACGTGGCGACTACAATCGGCGTTGCAATTCACATGGATGGGATGGAGGTGACGTGGCGATCAACATGGACTCAGGTAATATTTATGCACAAACTAGCAGCAAGCGTTCGGTACTGCCGTGTCGGAGGACGGAGTGTATCTCACCACCATATCCAGGACCTCGAGGGCCTCTCGCCAGCCGCCCTCTCGCCCCTCCGCCGCCTCCATTTCAGCTCCCTGCCAAGGCATACGAGTCCGGCGCACGGCGGTGGCAGGCAGATGGGGGGACGGGGGGGGACGGGGGGGGACGGGGGGGCGGAATGGACCGTCAGCATCGTGTGGACGTGAGATAGAAGAGTGGTCGAAAGGAGAGCTGCATTCAAAGGGTGTGGCGCTGATTGGGACTTTTTGCTGAAAAGTCTCGTCAGACGACTAGTAGCCGAGGACCTCGGTTCCGCACACCAAACAATCGCAAACGATAAATGTAGGACAGCGCAAAATCTTTACGACGTTGGCCTGACAAACAAGCGGGGTCAACGGGCGACGGCATGAAAACTGTACCACATCATCCTTTCAGTCTTATCGCCTGTGCCCGTAGACTTGGTTGGCCACACGCACCCCGAGTGGGATACGCTTTGAAACAAGAGAGTTTCTTCGATGCTTCAGAGATCAAAATCTCAAATACTCTCCCTCTCCAAGGCATGCGGTTTTTCACCCCGCGCGGTGCCAACGCAAGGGAGTTAGTTCCCTGTTCCCCTCGAGGCGTTTCCTCACCTTTGCGCAAGCAACCAGAGCCGCGTTGAAGGCCAGAGACGACGCCTGATTGAAGTACGTACAGACCCCGCTGCCACCATTACCGCTGGAGTGATCACCGCTGCCGCTGCGGTCGACCTCCACCCGGCCGGTATTGTTCTGCACGTCACGAAGGATACCCACCGCTTTTTCCCACTGCCCCCCCCTGCACCGGCAGACACACACGACAAACGACGATACGTTCAGTTCGCGCGGAATGTTGTCGACTGCGTGCCTCAAGCAGAGGCACTCAACGCTTGGACCCACAGGGCAGAAACAACACCAGAAATGCGTTATTCTATGTTGACACTAGAAGCCCCCTCGACGGCAAAGGCAAGGACTGCGGTGAAAGGGTGGGGGCTGGCGGTCGCACAAAGGCTGTCGTTGGCTCGCTTCCGGCAGCGCTACATGCTACGGCACGTTTGGTGAGAACGTGTGCAGCTGTTGCGTCAACACAACGGTGCCAAGTGAGGATGGAAGCAAAACCCATCGTACAACACGGATACGCTGGCAGAGGCAAGAAGCGCCTCACAAGTACGGGTGGGAACGTCAAGTCCGTGAAAAAATTGTGCGGCGCTAACCCCTGCAAGCATTTAACACAACTACGATTGTCCGCGCTTTCATGTTGAAAACACAACTCCGAAGAAAGGACGTGCAACAGCAGCACTGATTGCAACATGGGACCATTTAGACCAACTTGTTGCCTGCTGATCTGTGGAGATATCCAACCAAAGGGATGGATGCTTGGCTACATATGCCAAAATTAAGAGTTTACCCTTCTTTGCAGCGCCGCTTCCTTCAGCCGCACCCTAACCACACTCAACGTGCGTACGCTATCTGGTCCGGCGAAGCGTAGACCAGACCCGTCCCGTCTCGAGGATACTACGGCCCGGCGAGAGACTGAATTTCATCCTTTCAACAGATTCTCCACAGCATCGCCTGCTGGAGGCATCCAAAGCCGGCTCATTCTTGTACAAAGCTCAGACACGCCGGCGACACTTCATGGTGGTGGCGCAAAACACCGCCGGAGTTCATCCAGAAACCGCACCATATCACACCTGCACTACGCAGCCGAGGACAGCTCAAAGAAAGCGAGTGCGGCGCGCCCCCTGCATGCCTCGTCACCATCCTAACGACAACAACATGCTCATGTCCCCTTGCGGTCGAACCCTCACCTCGCGCAAGCAGTGAGGGCGGCCACCGTAGCCCGGGGAGGCGGTAGCAGCACCCCCGGCCCCTTCGAAACGCCTTCGGTGCGAGAGGAAACCCCACTCTCGCCCCTTCTTGGTTGATAAGCTTCCGCCTCATAGTCAGCCGACGAAGCGGAGGCGTCCGCAGCCATGTCGGCCACCATTTGATCGTACAGCCCGAGGGTGAGACGCCATTCTCCGGCCTTGTCGCAGGAGCTGTTCGTCGTCGGGTAGTCGCCGGGAAACGTAGATTGCATTCGCCGCGGGTGGGTAGTTCATGCTTGGGATGACAGTGTATTGTAAGAAATGCTGGAAACCGAAATCGCTACAAATGTGCTTACTTTTTGTCGTAGGTTATGGCTTCAGCTTCAATTACTAGAGCGATTTGGGATATAAATTCATGCTTGAAATAATAAACCATCAGTACCAACCTTGCTACAATACGGTTGTAGTCATGGCTTGACTCCGACTGGTAGTTGCGCGAGTTATCCCTGTCCACAACCAGCACAGAAAAATGCACGTGACAAGTCTGGTCTCCGGCCCATCAAGCTTACTGAATTCGATTTTAGGGACTTGCTTGTTCTGCTACAACCGTCGAATGCACGTAAAAAGCAAAAAGCCCTGTTCTTGCGGTACAACTAAGCAACCAAGTCTTTCCGGAGCGGCGTTCATCTGGTCTGAAAAACTAATATGCGGAGCCATGCTAGCCCTGGACATAACCTGCACATCCAAGCCACCTGCGACGCACTCTCTCCCGTCACCTACAAAAGTCGAAATTAAAGCTCGGTTTGCCCGTGTTGTCTTGTTTTTCAAGATCAGGCATTTCACCGTCTGACTCCGAACAAACTCGTGGCTCAAGGTCAACAGCACAACATCAATACTGTTCCGCCTTTTCTCCTGCTGCGTCATGCACCTCTTTCTTTTCTCTTCGTCTCTCTAATACTTTTCCTCACTCCAGCACACCTTATGGCTCCGGCGTAGCTAATGGCGTCGGGTCGAATCCGGGCCGAACGCATGTCCTTCAACACCGAGAGCGCGAGCGAGCACTCTGCGGCCTTGTCGCACGCACCAATCGCGGCGTTGTGAGCGACCAGCCCCGCGGGCACACCGTCGTCCTTCATCGCCTGAACGGAAGGGGATCGCCCACAAGCATGCACGTGCGCGTGGGAGATTGGGAATGGGAAAACTAAGGTCTTGGGAGTGCCATGCTGCAGTTTAGCCTTTTCCTTGTCCGAAGCAAGAGTTCCTTGAACCGTTTCTTGTTGGCTCGGGTAGATCGCCAAGTACCGCTTTGGGAGATCACAGTTACCGATTCGGGTGGATCTCATGTGCCGATTCGGGTACATCGCATGTACAGCATCGGGTAGATCACATGTACCGATTCGGTAGATCTCATGTGCCGGTTCGGGTACACCGCATGTGCCGGGTAGATCACATATGGCGGTTCGGGCGGATGGATTTACGGTATCACGGACGGGGGGGGTTGCGATACTTGCAACGACAATATCGCACGGAAACGTTATATAGGCATACGTACCCATGACCTGGCTTGGAGGCAATGAACGACGCACCTGGAGCAGTCCTACCGCTATCTTGGCTTTGCCAGCGTTGCCGCACGCGGTGATGGCGTTGCTGTAGGTGCTCTCATCAGGCGCAACACCGCGTTTTCCCATCGTCTGTTGTGTTTTCACGAAACGTCGAAAGCAGCGGGGAGTCTCGTCAGCTTGCGCCAGGATACCAACAGCAGCATTTTTTCAATCCGTTGACGGGCGTCGTTCGAAGAAAAAAACAAGACTGAACAGCATTCGCATGGACGAAAAGAGACCGGCATTTGTGTCGAGGTGATGGGAACTCGCAGGTGGCAGTAATGTAGGAACGGCGTGGGTCCGTATCGGGGAGGAAGACACGAGGCTCGGCGGAGAACCACGCAAACAACCAAAGTAAACGAAGTATTTCATGTAAAGGCGGTGACGAAACAATCAATTGCTGAAAACAACCAAACAAAGGGAAAGCTGCGGGAAAACACACACAAGGGGAGAGAGGGTGAGATGAAAATCTTGTCAAAGAGGCAAACGAAAAAGTCACGTGAAAACTAACCCCACCCGCCACATGAATGTACTCAGGCTTACTAACCTAGACAGTCATCTGTATTTCGCGGTCATGTGAAGTGACGAAACGACGTCTCCAGAAGCACGATCGACGAATGTATCTAGCAAGCATACGCCCGACTAGCACCGCTCAGGCCTGTTTGCCCTGTACTACCGTACATACAACACAAATGGTTCGAGCGAAAAATACCTGAAAACATAACAGCACACAACTGCTACATGAGTAGGCCTAGGCAGGGGGAGTCCTTAGAAACTATCCAAGTGATGTATCTACCTCTACGATGCTCAGCGCTTGCTCGAATTCCCCGCTGCTGCCGCACGCCTTAACGGCGCAGTTGTAGCACACCAGGTCCGGCCTGGAAAAGTGTTGTTGTGCAGGCATAGCGGGAAAAGATTATCCGTAACTATCGCGGATGTTGCATTCCGTTGCATCATGCCAGCCTTCTATACCTTTGATTGACTTTCGTTCCGGACAAGCAATCGTCAATCGAGAATGACTAGGACGCTGAGCTAAGCCGCATCACATCCCAAATTATTTGTACGAGGCAGTGTGGGTACGCTTTCCTACTAAATAGGTTAGCTGGGCATGGATTCATTAGTGCAGTCGCCGTCCGCGCGACATGTTTAGACGCCTCGTAGAAGTAAGCCCGGAAGTCCACGGGGATGGTCGTCGAGTGGTGCTGGATGAGAGAAAGAGGCGCCATCGTTGGAAATATGGAAGAATCCTGCATGAAAAGAATTTCCAAGGCATGTCCTCCTCGAGTTCTGCCACGGACGGTCCGTGTCCGACCTTGTTCATTGTGTTACCGTAAAGAGCATGGGCGAACGCAGAGGTGTGCGACTGGTACTTCAACGTTCGATTGCACTGAACCTAAGAGGCTGCCAGGGCTGGAAAGGGTGGTTATCATGTGTCTCGGTCGGGTTTCTTACCATCTCGGGTTGTGGAGCAATCGACCTTAAAAACATTGAACGCAACGCTGTACGTTCGCACGCATTCTTTCGCCTTCGCCTACCACCTCTTGTCCTTGACCCATGCGCTCGTGCACCGGGATGATGTAAAAACATCAACCAGGACAAGAAAAAGGAGACGGAACGCCGCCCTTGTATCTAGCCATCATCTGCAGAGAACATCTGAGAAGCGATGACCGGTAGTAGACTGCACGTATCCCCAATAGACCTCTCTCTCTCTCTCTCTCTCTCTCTCTCTCTCTCT